TGCACAGGGATATATTTTAGGAGGTGTCAGGGATGCTAAACCGGGAGGAAGGAGAGCGAGAAAGCCGGGGCTGGAACGGGAGACGACGGGCGGGTTCTGCCCTAGAGGGAGGCACGGCCACGGGGTGGGGGACCCCCCCAGAATGAGACCTACAGCCCCCCCTCCAGGGTCTCTCTCTGCCCCCCCCACCCCGGGCAGGGTCGCTGGAAGAAGCCATGGAGGGTCTGGCCAAGAAAAGCTGATGCTGGAGAACAAATGGAGCCCCAGGAGCAGGACCAGGAACCGTCTGCAGCTTCCATGGTTCATGCCAACCCCAATCCTGCCCCTTTCTGTGCCCAGGGGTTGGGGCAAAGCCTCCTCCAGCCCCCCCCCCCGGAGCCTGGACTGGCCCAGAGGAACACCAGGAGATGGATGGATGGATGGATGGAGACACAGACCCTCAGCCACTGCTCCTCAGACCTGGAGCAGAATCTCCCCCCCAGGGTCCTCTCCAGAGCCCAAGGGAGGGGCAGGAGCTGGGCAAAGGTTTGGACTCAAACCTAAATCCCATATTTTTTTCCTTCCTGACCCCCACAGCACCGTCCCCCATGCCGGCTTCGCCCCAAATTTCCTCCTTCCCCCCCCCCCAGCCCCAGCATCATCCACTCAGGGGGACACCAGCACCCATGGGTGACACCCGCCAGGCTAAGGAGGGCTCAGCCCTGATTTCAATTAGCAGAGAGGGCTAATTTGGGGGCTTACTGAGGTTGCCAGGCTGAGGGCTGGCGATGCCAAGTCCCGGCCACCCCATCACTGGGGCCGAGTTCACCCACTGGCACCAGGGGGGCACAGGGTGAGGAGAAAAATGGCTTTTTAAGGAAAAAAACCCAACCCGACAGTGCGATTTGCAAAGGCTACAGCGAGCAGGGCGGGGGGTTCAGTGCAAGGGAGCAAAAAAAAAGGCAATACAGTAACAGGAAATATTTAATTTTTTTTTCTTTTTTTTTTTCTCCAATCTCCACTTTCCATTTTTATAAACCGAAAAGAAAAAAAAAAATTAATATATTACAAAATATCTGTACAGAGACAAAGGTACAACCGAAAAAAAGGCGCGCTCAGTCTCCAAAGGGAAGGGGGGAGAGGGACAGCGAGAGTCTGACCGGGGGCTTCTCTGCTGGGGAAGGGGCTGGGGGGGGGACATCAGCATGAAACCCAAACCCACCCCCGTGGAGGAAGGAAAGAAGGGGGGGGGACGAGGTGCCACCGAAGGATTTTGTCACCTGCACCACTTTTTAAATACCTGTTTCCCCCCCCCAGTCCCCCCAGTTCCAATCCTTTTCTCTTCTTTGCACAGCGACTCTTTAAGAAAAATTTAAAAAATTAAAAAAAAAAATAAAGAAATAAAGCAGAGGTGCTGCTGGGAAGGACACAAGTGGCCCCCCTGAGTCTTGGAGGCACGGGCTGTGTCCTGGCCAGGCTGGTGTCCCCCTCCCCAATCCCTCTTACAGGGATTGAAAGCCTCTTGCTGGGACCAGTTAAGAAAAGCCAGGAGATGGAGAGGTGGCCCCTGCCCCAGCTCTGCCCAAACCCCAAAACCACCTTCTGCAGGAGCCCAGGGCACCTCCTGGCCCCGTGGGGACAGAGGGCAGATGCCACCAGCCCCCCCAGAGCAAGGGACAGAAGCTGGGGGTGTCTGTCCTCTGCTCCAGGTGGGACAGGAGCCACCTCGAGGTCCTCACCACCTTTTCTTCAGCCCCTGCTCCAAAATAAAGCATCCCCAAGGGCTGGATGCTCCCAGGAGCCACCCTGGGGGACACGGTGACACCAAAACTGGGACAAGCCCACCCTAAACTGTCCCAAAAAGCAGGACCCCAGGGCTGGGGGACACCGAGGACACGGGGTTTTGGGGAGGCGCCAGTTTGGCAAGACAATAAATAGGCAGCGGGTTCCTCAGAGGATTGAGCCCTGGAACAGGACTTTAATTAAAACAAAATATGAAGAAATAAAGCAGAGGTGCTGCTGGGAAGGACACAAGTGGCCCCCCTGAGTCTTGGAGGCACGGGCTGTGTCCTGGCCAGGCTGGTGTCCCCCCTCCCCAATCCCTCTTACATGGATTGAAAGCCTCTTGCTGGGACCAGTTAAGAAAAGCCACTGGAGATGGAGAGGTGGCCCCTGCCCCAGCTCTGCCCAAACCCCAAAATCACCTTCTGCAGGAGCCCAGGGCACCTCCTGGCCCCGAGGGGACAGAGGGCAGATGCCACCAGCCCCCCCAGAGCAAGGGACAGAAGCTGGGGGTGTCTGTCCTCTGCTCCAGGTGGGACAGGAGCCACCTCGAGGTCCTCACCACCTTTTCTTCAGCCCCTGCTCCAAAATAAAGCATCCCCAAGGGCTGGATGCTCCCAGGAGCCACCCTGGGGGACACGGTGACACCAAAACTGGGACAAGCCCACCCTAAACTGTCCCAAAAAGCAGGACCCCAGGGCTGGGGGACACCGAGGACACGGGGTTTTGGGGAGATGCCAGTTTGGCAAGACAATAAATAGGCAGCGGGTTCCTCAGAGGATTGAGCCCTGGAACAGGACTTTTTTTCCTTCCAATTTGGATGGAAAAAAAGAAAAAAAAAAAAGCCAGAACAACAACAACAACAAAAGCTCCAGCCCAGAGCGGAGCTGGCAGATGCACAGTGGAAGGAAAAAAAAATAAAATATAGAAATTAAAAAAAAAAAACCAACCTACCCCTCAAGAGGTGACTGGTTTATTTAGTGCTCCTGGCATCTCACACAACTGCTCTTGGAATTTCTTTTTTTTCCCCCTGCACATCAGGCATGAACCAGCAATTTTAAAAAAAAACAAACCAAAAATCAACCAACCAACCCCAACACAACCAAAACCCAACAAATTTACACTCGGAATTCTGCAAAGTGTCTCTCCTGGGTGCTCACTCGATGCTCCGAGAGGGGCTGCTCAGGCAGGGCCTCGCACAGGACCAGCGGCATATAAATATATATATATATTTTTATATATATATATATAAAAAGAAAAATCTATTTTCTCTTCCCTCCTTCCTCCCGCAGCAAAGGCAGGTTTTCCCCCACTTAGAGAAGCACCACCTATTTAGGAGCAGTTTTATTTTTAAGTTAATCTCTGTATAAAAAGAAAAGAAACCAAATCCTAAAAGTCTCTGGGCCCCCCCCCAGCCTCCCACCCCTTTAACTCTCCAGAACGCTGCTGTCTCCAAAAATTAAAAGAAGAACCGTACGTTTTCCATAGGAAAGACCTACTCAGGAGGAAAACAAAAAAAAAAAAAAGCTCATAAATATGTACCTTTGTTTTATTCATCAAAAATTAAAAGAAGAACCGTACGTTTTCCATAGGAAAGACCTACTCAGGAGGAAAACAAAAAAAAAAAAAAGCTCATAAATATGTACCTTTGTTTTATTCATCTCTTTTGTTTAACTCTCATTGAAATGGACAACATGGCAACGTTCTGCGGGAGGAGAGAATTCATCGTAAATACTTGACAACAACAAAAAAATATATATATATATGCTTATAGAAACCATACAGGAACGCCTGGGAAGCCTCCACGTACTGAGACGCTGCCGGGGGGGTCCAAAGGAGCCCCATGGGGACACCGACCCCCCCTCGGGGACACCAACACCAGTCCCCAAGGATGGGGGTACAAAAGACACTCCTTCGTGGTGGCAACTCCCCACCAGAAGTTGGTTTTTTTTTTTTTACCTTTTTTTTCTTTAATCCTTAAAGTGTTTCGGAAGTTCTGAACGACAAAGAAATACATATTTTTTGTAAGTGAGGTGTTCTCTTCGGCTCTTAAAAAACAAAAAACAAAAAAAAATAAAAGAAAAAAAAAAAAAGAGATGATTCCCACTGCAAAGTTGTGGCAGGAGAGATACAAACCCCAAAGAGACCCTTCACAAAAGCCAATTTTCTAAGGCTACGGTCAGAAGAGAGAGGACCCGGAGCCACCCGGGAGCAGAGGGACAGACGGACACTTTTTGGGGAAAAAAACCCACTGTTGGATAAATTGAGTAGGAGCCAGTGCCACATCCTGGGGCTCCGAGCCAGGTCAAGGGATCCAGGCGCCTCTGCATCAATATATTCCTATTTCTTTCTCTTTTTTTTTTTTTTAGGTTTTTTTTTTTCTTCCCTTTTTTTTTTTTTTTTTTTTTTAAGTTTTTTTTTTTTTTTTTTTAAGGAAATTGGGAAAAAACATCCCCCAAAAAAATTACTTTGGGAAGCAGACCCTCCCCCAGCCCTACCTGAGCACTGCCCCGTGCTCCCCCCCAGTGAGAAGCAGCGGTGCCCAGCTCCTCAAACATTGGCTTTTCTTTTTAATTATTATTTCCTTCTTCCCACCTGCTTGGGTTTGTTTCATTCCTCCTATTTTTCAACAATTTCCCCCCCCCCCAGCCAGCCCCACTCCCCTCCTCTGCTGGCCCAGGGCAGAAAGCTCACCCCCATCCACGGTGGGGTTGGTGGCTCTGATTTTTTTTGTCACTAACCAAGCACGAGAGGTTTTGGCCAGCGAGACACCCCCCCAAGGAAAGGGGGGGGGACACCCTACAGCAAAGCAAAGTGGGGAGCCCCCCCCCTTTCCAGCAGCCAAGCGAAGGGACACGACAGGGAGCTTCGCAGCAGCTGAAATGCAGACGAGACCTTGCTCTGGCAACAGGAAGAAAACAAAATAAAAATTAAAAATAAAAATAGAAAGAGTCTAAAGGGAGGTAAAGGAGAGGGGGGGGGGGGGGGGGG